CAGACCCAAAGATAAGTATACTATATTATGAAGATTATTTCTAATAATGTATATGGAAGTATCACACACTAGTAATTGTTAGATGTCATCAAGTCAACTCTCACTCAGAGCGGCCCCACATACAACAGACCACCACCTTGTCCAACCTATGCCACTGTCACAATTCCTATGTCCTTAGACCCATTGTCAGATTCACGATGGAGGATTTCCTCTTTTGCACTGATGCTCTGCTTTATGGTTAATAAAAATTAGACTGACAACTGTCACTCAGCTTTTAAAATAGTAATAGTGAAAGGAAGTATCTGTATCAATAATTTGTAATTCTCAGGGAAGCCTACTAGAAGTACAGTATATTCACTCCCTGCTCTTGCTAATGGCTTGCTTAAACTTTAGAGTAGAGTATTATATATGTTGACAGTTCTGAAATGTCATCAATCATAAGAACAATCGCTTGAAAGGTTTCGTTCAATTGTGTTAAAATGCAGATCACCAAGCATTATTCCCCAAAGTTTTGGAAGCTATAGGGCCCACCCCAAAATTTGCATTTGTCCTAAGTCTCTAGGTGCTGCTGTGAGAACACCAGAAACATCCAATACAGGAAACAGGGGTTCAGTGAAAACCAGTATTTCACAGTACAATTGGGAAAGGGGTCAGAAATACAATTTTATGATAGCAGATATTTATACATTGAACTACAACTGTAAATAATAACTAAACCAATAAATTTTTATAGCACTAGAAGGACGGGTCTTAAATGAAAATGGAACACATCTACTAAATCATACTTGAAGAAACAGTTTATCTAAATAAACAGATACTCTCAGATCTAATAGAGAATTAGAAAAAAGACAGCTAAGAAGAAATAGAAGTGCTAAATGGTGTAAAGTGTATCACAAATTACGTGGCCAACCTGATGAAAGATGTCCATGATCACACAACAAAACCAACCCTGAGGAATAAGATGAATCTGTGATGGTAAATAACTTACTAGAGCATCTGCCATAAATAACTTACTAGAGCATCTGCCATAGGTCTAATTCGACAAGAAGTATCACAGAAATGGGAGAGTTGCTGGATTGGCAATTAAATTTCTCCAGGAGAATGTAGAGGAGTATTCTCACTCCAGAGCTACCTCTATCAATTAAGGAAAGGCTCACTGTTGTAAGAAGTGGCAAGGAACTAAGAGTTCAGAGTTCACCTTGAAGAGATCATGTACAATATAAGAATTTCAATAACATAAGAAAAAGAGACATATGGGATCCCATGGTCTAAGTCTGTGGAAAGCAATTTGAAAAGCTCTCCAAAGTTAATGTCTGCCAGGAAAGCCCCAAGCAAGTCTGCTGAGGGATAAAGAAAAAAAAAAAAAAGTATTAAACAAGATGAATATAGCAATAAACTCTCTGATTAACTCAAATTTACAAGATCTCATAAAAGTTGCCATAAAGATGCATAAGATGCAAGGAGAATAAGTGAAAAATATTCAAAGAAATTGGAGGCATGTGGCTGAAGGAATAAATTCATTGGGAGGAATAAATACAATGTTACTAAGCAGAGTAACCCACTACTGTGTGAGGATACTGAAGAAATGAAGTATAACACAAGACCCTACTTTGTTACATTAACATATTTACAAGACGTACAAGAAAGAACAGCAAGCTTCATAAACAGGAACAAACTTTCATCTGTTTCAATATAACTGGAGTAAAATAATTAATTTTCTGATTTCCTGAATTTCTGGAATACAAAAGGGTACTACTACTTGAGGCAGCATTTCAAAATAGTCCAGATTTTTCAGATGCTCAGCTACTCCAACTTTTACCTACTTAGCTGCCTTTTCAATTTTCTATAAATCTAAATAATTGGGGGAGAGGGAAGAAAGTTTTATTACAAATTCAATCAAGATGATCCAGTGATATTATCAATTGATTTTGTTTGTGAGCTCTTGTTCAGTCAGTTAACTGAGAGGCACAGATACTGGTTAGTTTACCAATCGAAGTGAAAAATTGCAGCAAAGCTGGAGATAAAGTAAAATTGGAAGAATGTTCTCCTTAATGGTTAATGCTCTCAGCTGCTAACTGAAAAGTTGAGATTTGGGGTCTACCAGAGGTGCCCTAGAAAAAAGTCCTGGCAATCTCAGCAACTGAAGACTCCTCAGCATCATTTGCCTCCGATACATGCTGAGTTGCCATGAGTTAACATCCATTCCCTAAGAACTGGGGTACTTGCTGGTGCTTCCAAGAAAGAAGGTGGGAACATGAGTCCTACTCCCTTATCTCCACAAAATCCTTGTTATCAAATAAATGTTAGCTGAGAGCTAAAAAACGAAAAATATGCCGACGCAAACAGCTGTACTTAATATGATTTACACTCTGGTTATGCAAAGGCATTTGACTGTGTGGATCATAACAAACTGTGGCTGACTCTGAGAAGAATGGGAATCCCAGAACATTTAATTGTGCTAATACGA